AAACCCTGAACCGAAACCCTAAACCCTAAACCCCAAACCCTAAACCCCAAACCCCAAAACCCAAACCCCAAATCCTAATCCTTACATCGCCTCTGGGGATAGGCGGCTGGACAGGGCATCCGATGACAAGTCCCCATGGACACAACCGCCGCCCGAAACAGAGCCGCTGTTTAGGGTCTCTAGGGTTTAGGGTGTGGGGTTTAGGGTTTAAGGTTTCAGGGATAAGGGTGTAAGCTTTAACCTGAATCCGGTGAACCCCCAAAGCCCTAAGCCCTAACCCTAGAACCCCAAAGTCCCTAAAACCCCCTAAGCCCCCAAACCCTGAACCCTCAAGCCCCCGAGCCCCCGTAAACCTGAGAACCCGGGACTTCCAGAGTCCACAACCATCACTTAGGGCTTGGAGACAATATTCAATATTTTGGGCACTTGAAATTCCTAAACGAAGCAGCCAACATGATCATGTTTGCTGGGGTTCCCAAGTTCAGGAATTCCCAAAAGAAACAGCTGACATGATCATTTTTGCTGGGGTTCCAAGTTCAGTAATTCCTAAGAAACAGCTGAAATGATTATGTTTTGCTGGGTTCCCAAGTACAGTAATTCCTAAGAAACAGCTGAAATGACATTTTTTGCTGGGTTCCCAAGTTCAGTAATGATCAGGACTGGCTTGGTGCCCTCCGGGCACTGCTGCTCGGCCGCGTGCGGGACCAAGCCGAGGGACCCTAAACCCTAAACCCTAAACCCTAAACCCTAAACCCTAAACCCTAAACCCTAAACCCTAAACCCTAAACCCTAAACCCTAAACCCTAAACCCTAAACCCTAAACCCTAAACCCTAGACCCTAAACCCTAAACCCTAAACCCTAAGCAGGGACACCCCTGTTTCAGGCGTGTACCCAACACTACCTGGTAATCCTGATGATGAAGGGGCATTGGAGTAAGGCCTACTTGGAAGCTCTTTTGACTTCGTGGTTCTACTTAGTATCCCTGACCATCCCCATAACCCACCTTGCCAACCCCACTTGCTGAGTCAAAAGGCCTTCCAAGTATGTAATCCTCAAGAATACTGGGTAGACCCTTGGGACATTTTATATTTTCCCTTCTTGGGGTTTAAGAGGACCATATGCAGGAAACCCTAAACCCTAAACCCGAAACCCGAAACCCTAAACCCTAAACCCTAAACCCTAAACCGCAAGACCCATGCTCAAGGAAGAAGCCCAATTGTCAAACCATCAGAAGCAGCCCTCGGCCGGTGGACAAGTTGGCCGCGTCGTGCTGAGTTGCCCCCCTCAAGCATGCCCGTTTAGGGTTTAGGGTTTAGGGTTTAGGGTTTAGGGTTGAGGGTTGAGGGTTGAGGGTTAGAGTTGAGACTTTAGGGTTTAGAGAAACTCCCCTTAGATCCGAATCCTGCCCCCCCCCCAAGAGGATCATGGCCCTGAACCATGTCTCATTTTGGCTTTCAGAAACCTGAGTGAATTCAGAGGGTTTAGGGTTTAGGGTTTAGGGTTTAGGGTTTAGGGTTTAGGGTTTAGGGTTTAGGGTTTAGGGTTTAGGGTTTAGGGTCCTAAACCCCAAACCCCAAAACCCACTAAGCCCCCTGGCTCCATAGGCCATTGGGTGTCAGTAGGGGATGTACCCTAAACCCGAAACCCGAAACCCGAAACCCTAAACCCTAAACCCTAAACCCTGATGTAAGTAAAGGATCTCTAAGGTTTCTCCAAATTATCAAGGCCCATACTATACCATGCTAAGAATCATCCTCCAGTCTTGCAATTAGGGATTTGGGTTCAGGGTTCAGGGTTTGGGGGTTAAACCCTAAACCCTAAATCCTAAACCCTAAACCCTAAACCCTAAACCCTGAACCCTAAACCCTAAACCCTAAAACCTAAACCCTAAACCCTAAACCCTGCTTCTGACTCGAAGCTCGCGAGCCATCTCTTGGTAAGGACTTGGGGTATCAGATGCCTTATATCTCCCTTTGAGGCATTGAAAATTCCTCGTATATCCGTCTTAGCTCCATTTGAGGGATTGAATATTCCCTACCTTTCCCTGCAAGGGATTTTACAGGGTGCCTACTTCCCTAAGCCGAAAAACCCTAAAACATACTACTACGATTGACTAAACCCTAAACCCTAAACCCTAAACCCTAAAGCCTGAGCCTTAATCCCTAAACCCTAAACCCTAAACCCTAAACCCTAAACCCTAAACCCTAAACCCTAAACCCTAAACCCTAAACCCTAAACCCTAAACCCTAAACCCTAAACCCTAAACCCGAGGGTTTGGAGTTTGCAAGGCTTTCGGCACTCTCCCGCGCGTCGCGGTGGCAGGAGGCACGCGGCAGACAAGATGGCACGATGAACCCCTGAATCCAAAACCCTCATCCTTTTGACCTGAGGTTTGAGGTTTAGGGTTTAGGGTTTAGGGCTCCGGTTTTCCCTATTTCCTGCTAAGCCCGAAGCCCGAAGCCCGAAGCCCGAAACCCTAAACCCTAAACCCTAAACCCTAAACCCTAAACCCTAAGTGTACTAGGAACTCCGGGAAGCTCGGACAAATCTGAAAATGGAAACTGCAATTCTACACCCGAAGCCTTTCCGAGTCCTGAAGCTAATCCTGGTTTAGGGTTTAGGGTTTAGGGTTTAGGGTTTAGGGTTTAGGGTTTAGGGTTTAGGGTTTAGGGTTTAGGTTTCCTTGGACTAAAACGTCTACGCCAGGCCTTGGAAAACTCCATCCTCGTCGACCCCCTACACTCGAATGCCCAGATGCCCCGAAGCCCAGACCCTAAACCCCAAAGCTAAAACCTAAACCCTAAACCCTAAAGCCTAAACCCTAAACCCTAAACCCTAAACCCTAAACCCTAAACCCTAAACCCTAAACCCTAAACCCCCGAAAGTCCAACACCTAAGGCCCTAAAACTCTGAAACCATAGAACTCTTAAGTCCCTAAGCCGTGCAACCCCTAAAGTCTTCAAGCCCTAGAAACCTAGAGCCCTAAAGCCCCAGAACCCTCTAAACCCCACGGCTCTCAGCCCTAAACCCTAAAACCGTGCACCCGAATCCACAACTCAAAGCCCTAAAGCGCCCTGAGTTTGGAAGAAGCCCGAAACCCTAAGTCCTAAACCTAAATCCAAAGCCCTAAACACTAAATCCTGAACCCAGAACCCTAAACCCCTAAGCCCCCAAACTTCCCGAAGTCCTGAACAGGGTTTGGGGTTTGGGGTGGGGTTTGGGGCTTCGGGTTTCGGGAGAACCTTAAACCCTAAACTCTAAACCCCAAACCACAGGCGCTGCGCCTCTTTGATTCACAGCTCCGGGAGTATCCTGACCATGTTCCCACCAGGAGCCATCAGTGAAGGCTTCTGCGTGTTGGGGGTTTGGGTCTTACTAGGGTTTAGGGTTTAGGGTTTAGGGTTCAGGTTTAGGGTTTAGGTTTTAGGGTTTAGGTTTTTTAGGGTCGTAGGGTTCAGGCTCTAGGGCTGAGGGTTCAGGGTGTGGTGCTTAGGATTTAGAGCTTAGTGTAGCTTAGGGTTTATTGCAGTTTAGGGCCTTCCTGAGATAAGCAGCAGGGGCTTCCAATACTTCCGCGGGAATATGCAGGAAGGCATGTGGATCCAATATTAAGGTCCCAACTCTACACCCTAGGCTTTTTGTTAAGCACAGGTCCTAAAACCCTAAAGCCCCCAAAACCCTAAAACCCTAAAACCCTAAAACCCTAAAACCCTAAAACCCTAAAACCCTAAAACCCCAAAACCCCAAAACCCTAAAACCCTAAAACCCTAAAACCCTAAAACCCTAAAACCCGAAAACCCTAAAACCCTAAACCTCATCCCCAACCCCTGAACCCTTAAACCCCTAAAAACCCTAAAACCAAACCCCATAAGACTTCCGTCCGGGCCAACGTCGGATGCGTGGGCTCTGTGTGTGGGGGTTTGGGTTCTTTATAGGGTTTAGGGTGTAGGGTTTAGGGTTTAGGGTTTAGGGTTTAGGGATTCGGGTTTAGAGTTTAGAGTTTAGGGTTTAGGGTTTTAGTGTTTAGGGTTTTGGGTCTTTGGGGGTGTGGACAGTTTGGGAAGGCCGAAGCCCCCCTGCCATGCGGCCTTAGGGGGTTTAGGGTGGAGGGTTTGGAGGCTTAAGGTTTAGGGTTTAGGGTTTAGGGTTTAGGGTTTAGGGGCTCAGGGTTGAACTTTGGATATACTTAAATGCAGCCTCAAGCACCTGAAATCCTCGCAGGAGCTGCTGCAACGCAGCCATCGCTGCATTGGCCCGAGGCGCAGAAGGGGCGACGCCAGCCGAGAGCATCGGTTGGGGTATGGGGTTTTGGGGTTTTGGGGTTTTGGGGTTTTGGGTTTTTGGGTTTTTGGGTTTTTGGGTTTTGGGGTTTTTGGGGTTTTGGGGTTTTGGGGTTTTGGGGTTTTGGGGTTTTGGGGTTTTGGGGTTTTGGGGTTTGGGGCTTGTCGTTTAGGGTTTAGTTTTTAGGGTTTAGTCTTGTTTGGGGCGTTTGGCGCGTTTGGGGAGTTGAGCTTCTCGGTTTTTCTTGCTGCAGCTTCCTTGGGGCGGTCCCCCCCCCCCCCCAACCCCCTTCACCGCCCACAAAGAGCCCACACTCTAAGTTCTCCAGGGGGTTAAGACTCGTAGCCCGGAGGTTGTGCTCCTAAGACGTGCCCCTCAAGATACTCCTAGCATGGCCCTTAGATTCCCTTTACAGATCTTTATAAAAGGGCACCCCGAAACCCAAGCGTACTAGAGCCCCTAGAAGTTCTCCCCTGGCCCTGCCGGTCTGCTTTTGGTTTCTTTTTGCGTTTAGGGTTTAGGGTTTAGGGCTTAGGGTTTAGGCCGCAGGCCGCAAAGACATCAATGCCTTCCACAGGCTGTGAACCCGTGATCCCCTTCTTCATGCCCCCTAAACCCCTAAACCCTAAACCCTAAACCCTAAACCCTAAACCCTAAACCCTAAACCCTAAACCCTAAACCCTAAACCTCAGAGCGAGGTGCTCTCTGGGCTGCAGCCATGGCCATGGCCTGGGGCCCCAGAAACCCCCTGTTTTTTGTTGGTCAGGGTTTAGGGGTTTAGGGTTTAGGGTTTAGGGTTTAGGGTTCAGGGTTTAGGGTTTAGGGTTTATGGTTTAGGGTTTAGGGTTTAGGGGTTTCGGGTTTAGAGTTTAGGGTTTTGGGGTTTACGAATTTCAGGGGTTTCAGGGTTGCCTTGTGGGTTTTCGGTTTGAAGGGCTTTTTGACTCAGGATTTTGGAGATTACAATTTTGGGTACAGGGCTTTAGGGCCGACCAAAGTTCGCTTACCATGGACTAACAACTTGAATCTCAAGCCGAACCCGAAACCCAAAACCAAGGTAGCTAAGGGTTTATGGTTTAGGGTTTAGGGTATACGTTAGAGGCACTCAACACCTGCCATGTGCTCAATGTCGGTGTATTCGGACACCACCAGCTCTCGGCGCTCAACCTGCAGCTCACGCCGCCGGGTATCAGCGGTTTAGGGTTTAGGGTTTAGGGCTTAGGGCTTAGGGTTTAAGGTTTAGGGCTTAGGGCCTAGGGCTTAAACGGTTTAAGAGTTTAGAGCTCTACCTCAGAGTGCACGACAGGGGGGGGGGGGGGGGGGGGGCATCGGTTACTCGGAATCCTAGAAAGCTTGGTAGCCCAGGGTGCTCTTTTTTCTTGTTCTGGTAGGTACCCTTCTATAGGTACCCTTTGTTGCTACTGGGCTACCCAGAAAAAGTTTTCGAGTGAGAGCAGCTGTTGGGTTGTTTTTAAGGTAAACTCGGAAGCCCTTCAAACCGTACACCCAAGAAGCCCCAAAGGTTTGAGCCCAATCCCAAAACCCTAAACCCCAAACCCTAACCGCCAAGCCCCAAACCCCAAACCCTAAACTAAATCCCAAACCCCAAACCCGAAACGCCAAACCCTCAACCCCCCAAATCCTGAACCCCAAAACTCCAAACCCCAAACCCAACACTAAACCCCAAACCCGAAACTCGTAAACCCCAGACCCGACAGCCTCAACCCCAAACTCTTCCGGATCCTGAAGCCCACGAGGTGCAGGAAATGCAGAAAGCTGGCCCGGGGAAGGCCTGCAGGTTGTTTGGGTTTCGGGCTTCGGGTTTAGGATTTCGGGTTTAGGGGGGTTTAGGGTGCAGGGTTTAGGGTTTTCAATTCAGGGTTGAGGGGCATTTTTTTTGGCGGTGGGGTGTTCTTTTTTGGGATTTGGGGTTTAGGGGCTTTGGGGTTTTCGGGGTTTAGGGTTTAGGGCTCGGGCTTTTTCAAAAGAACGCGGCGAGGTTTGGCGTTGACTGATTCGGGTCCATCGCGATGTGCGACCCTAAGTCGTAAACCCTAAACCTGAAACCCTTCATTCGAGGTTTAAGAGGCTTGTCTATTTTGAGGCAGGCGGATTTTCTGGGGTTTTAGGGCTTTTCGGGCTTTAGGGTTGTGGGGTTTTCAGGGTCTTAGGAGTCTGGGCTTTTAGGGTTTTAGGGTTTCAGGGTTTTCGGCCTTAGGGTTTTTGGGGTTTGGGGGGCACTTTAACATTGAAGAGGCGCGGACAAGCCTGAGTCTAGCCCTCCCTGTACCTGAAACCATAGGATTCGGGGTGTAGTGGGTATTTACTCGAGTTAAACGAGGTAAAGGTGTGACTACTTCTTGCAAAGGTCATTGTAGCTGCCTTTTTTTGGGCGTCGATTTATGTTTCGGCGTTCCTGAACGAGATCCCAGTTTAGGGTTTAGGACTTCTCAGGTGTCGGGTTTTTGGTTGAGAGGCCCGTTTTAGATGTTTGCGGCTCAGGATTTGGAAGGTTTAGTCCAAAAAACAGGTTTCGTTGATTGGGGCCTGAAGAATTAGAATAGGGTTTGGAGGTACAAGCAAAATAACCATAAGGGAGTACTATTCGTTTGGACGTCCGCTGTATGTCAGACAGCGACAGTGGCGCACTCGATTCAGTGGTCGAGGGCTTTGGTTCTAGGACCTTAGACCCTAATGAAACCTTGAACTTGGGATGTCCCCCTTCTACTAACAGTCCTTACTAGGGATTCTAGTATATATAGGGAGGGTCCCATGAATCTGGGCGTCAGAGGTTGCCTAAACCCTAAACCCTAAACCCTAAACTCTAAACCCTTTACCCTCAACCCTCAACCCTAAACCCGAAGTTCCGCCGCCGGACAGTCACTCAAAGTTTGCCATAGCAGGGCCAACGCCTCCCAACTGCCGACCACGTGACCATCGGCGCGGCGGTCAATGCCTGTGCCTTCGGCTAAGAAGGAGTTTCAAAGGGTTTCGATAGGGTTTAGGGTTGAGGGTTGAGGGCTTAGGGCTTGGGGTTTAGAGGGCACAAAGGGCTTCTGGGGTTAACTAGGGTTTAGAGTTAGGGTTTAGGGTCTGGGGCTTTGGGTTCAAGGGTCTGGGATTTAAGGGGCTGTGGGTTCATTTCGGGTTTAGGGTTCAGGGCTTCGGGTTAATACGGGTTAGGGTTTAGGGTTTAGTTAGTTTTCTAGGGTCTCGGGTTTATGGGGTTTAGGGTTTGCAGGGTATCGGGTTTATACGGTTCAGGGTTTGGGGTCTAGGGCCTATAGCGTTTCGGGTTTGGAGATAGGTCTCTCCAGTCTTGATGGGGCAACATGCTCGGCTTGCAAAATGAGTTTCGGTGTGGAAGGCGGTATGGCTCTAAACCCTAAACCCTAAACCCTAAACCCTAAACCCTAAACCCTAAACCCTAAACCCTAAACCCTAAACCCTAAACCCTAAACCCTAAACCCTAAACCCTAAACCCTAAACCCTAAACCCTAAACCCTACACCCTAAACCCTAAACCCTAAACCCCTGTCTTTTTGTTTCGGATTGTTCGGTTTCTGGCGGCGACGGAGAGCCGAGGTCCTTTGCTGAACCTTAAAGCCCCAAAACCCTAAACCCTAAACCCTAAACCCTAAACCCTAAACCCTAAACCCTAAACCCTAAACCCTAAACCCTAAACCCTAAACCCTAAACCCCAAACCCTAAACCCTAAACCCTAAACCCTAAACCCCAAACCCTAAACCCTAAACCCTAAAAACTCTGACGGGTTGACGGCTGCGTTGCTCGAAAGGTGCAAGGGCCGCCCGCTGGGAGTTGACGCTGCAGCTGCTGCAGGCCGCGCAATACTGCTTTAGGGCTTAGGGGTTCAGGGTTTAGGGTTTAGGGTTTAGGGTTTAAGGTTTAGGGTTTAGGGGTTTAGGGGTTTAGGGTTTTGGGTTTATGGGTTTAGGGGCTTAGGGTTTAGGATACTTCCCTTAGACCCTCAACTCTCTTGGTAGCCCAGTGGTGGCTCTTTTGCCCTTTTTGGGGGTCGAGGTTTCCTAATATAGCAAAACCATCCCCAATAAGGGCACCCTTCTTACAACCTGGACCGACTTGTGTGTGAACGCCCCTGTGCTTAGGGGGTTCTAGGGTGCTAGGATTGAGAGAGAGGGGGTGCTGGTAGCTGTGTCTTCTCTGGTGTCAGTTTCAGGGGCTAGATGTTGCCTCCTGTGAGCCCTAAATCCCTAAACCCGAAACCCTAAATCCTAAACACCAGAACCGTAAGCCCTAAACGTCCACTACCCCTGACTCGCTGGTTCGGGGCCTCCCCCCCCCCCATACCCAGAAAGAAGCGACGACCCAAGGGTTTAGGGTTTAGGGTTTAGGGTTTAGACCCAGAGTAGGGTCTTATTCCCTCTTTTTTGTGTTTAGGTTCCCCTTCTAAGCCCCTTCAACCCAGAAAGGCACGCTTTTGATTTGAGAGGTCTCTCCTGTGCTATGTAGAATTTGCTTTCTTTGGTCAGCAAAGAGCGGCCAGGGGGGCCGTCAGAAAAAAATTACGGGGTTTAGGGTTTAGGGTAAGCGTTAAATCCCCTATCAAACCTCTAACATGGCTAAACCCACTGAAGCCCAAAAACAACCCTAAACTCCAAACCCCTACCTTACGCGCGCTGGTGGTCTCTTTAAGTAGGGTTTCGGTTGTAAAGGGCGTATATTCGGGTGTCCTTTTAGGGTATCTAGGGGCTATTTTTAGGTTTTCAGGGTAACAGATAAAGAGGCTGCAGGCCTTTATGTCCCCTGCCCAGTTAAAACCCTAAACCCTAAACCCTAAACCCTAAACCCTAAACCCTAAACCCCAAAGCTCTTGAGCGAACCGTTTTTGTTCCAGGCATCGCCCTCGCTGGTGACCCTGGGTGCCGCCATCTCCGCGCAGGTGCCAAGTAGGGTTTAGGGTTTAGGGTTTAGGGTTTAGGGTTTAGGGTTTAGGGTTTAAGGTTTAGGGTTTAGGGTTTAGGGTTTAGGGTGGAGGGTTGAGGGTTTTGGGTTTTGGGGCTTGCTTAAGGTTTAGGGTTTAGGGCTTAGAGTTTACGTAGGGTTTAGGATTCAGGGTTTAGGGTTTAGGGTTTGGGGTTTAGGGCTTGTGGCCCATATAAACCCTTAGCCCCAGTGGTCAACAGGTTGAGAGTTCGTTCCACAGGCCTCAGTGTCAAGAAAGCTTGCATTGTTGAAGACAAGCAAGGTCCTCTGGTGGAATGTCAAGGAAAGAACGCCCGAATACGCAGGAACTAGCAACCCTTCGCTCGGCCCTAAACCCTAACATCCCGAACGGCCGCATAGCTTAACCCTACATTCTGAAGCCTTAGCCCTAAGACTCTGATAGCTGACAGCCCAATCGCCCTGGATGCCAACTTTACGTGATGCCACTTTCCCTAAACCCTAAACCCCAAACCCCAAACCCCAAGCCCCAAACCCTAAACCCTAAACCCCAAAATCGAAGCCCGCTGCCAGCAGGAGAGGGCCAGCCAGTGGCAACGTGCCCGGGCCTTTGCAGTTGAACGGGAAGCCCAAGAGGCTTTGCGGGCTGGTTTCTTAGTAGGGAATGAGGGAATGAGGTGCCCAATATAATCATATAATCCCTTAACGGGTATATATATATATGGTATATATATATGTATATATATATATATAGGGCCCGAATTCCCTCATGCCGTACTACAATCCCTTAAAGGGCATAAGCAAGGCCCTAATTTCCTGATTCTCTACTAAGAGCCAGGGGCTTTAGGTTTCGGGGTGTCTCAATCCCTATAAATGCCCGAAAATCCCCGAAGCCCGAAATTCCACAACTCCGGTAACTACCTGAATTCCCTAAATTCCCGAAGCCCCTCAGTCCCTAAACCCTAAATCCCAAAAACCCTAAATCCCTGAATCCCTAATTCCCTGAAGGAGGCCGGGAGATTTTTCGAGAACAGCATTGCCTCCGCCCACCTTGCTTTCCAGAAAATAGGCCTGAGGAGTGCTACGGTCAGATATGAGGGGGTTTGGGGTTTAGAGTTTCGGGTTTTGGGGGGTTTGGGGTTTAAAGAGGCGTCCTCGAACCTCTAAGTAAAGAGCCCAAAAAGGTTCTAAAGAGCCTAAAGCGCCCAAAATCCCAAAACCTTCTAAACCCTGTACCCCCCAAAGCCCCAAAGCGTGGTTTAGGGTTTAGGTCTTAGGTCTTAGGGTCTAAGCCTTAAACCTAAGCACTAAATCCCCCCTATGGTCCCCGTTTGCCAAGCTGCCAATTTCCAAGGCTCTGCCGCTGCTGGCATGGGCATTGCGCTCAGGGACGGCTGCGTGTTAGGGTGGGCACTGCGAGTCCCTGACAATTTTAACCTCTACACCACACCTAAAAACCCAAATACCCCAATACCCATATACCCTAGAATACCCGAATACCCTCATACCCTAGTACCTTATGCCCCAAGACCTGATATTTCAGATGTTTGAATGGCCAACCGACACGGCAAGGACCCCAAGGCCCGATACTTGGCTTCATTTGCTTTAAAAAGCCACCCAAAACAACCCTCATATTGCCCGTTGGAGGAAGAATCCATGTTTGTATTTTCTTGGGGGTTCTTAAGCAGAAGACCCTAAACCCTAAACCCTAAACCCTAAACCCTAAACCCTAAACCCTAAACCCTAAACCCTAAACCCTAAACCCTAAACCCTAAACCCTAAACCCTAAACGTACTCGGGCTGGATTCTCAACTCCACCTTCGGGATTCGGAGGGCTGGGGGTCCAAATGCTCGAGGGAGGGCCTTTTTCCTGCTACTACCGGGGCTCGCGGTCCCAGCTCTGGAATGGGCCCGGATCCCTGTGCCCGAAGCCCTTCAAATTCTAGAGTTTAGGGGTTTAGGGTTCAAGGGTTTAGGGGTTTGGGGTTTGGGGTTTAGGGATTCAGGGCTTAGGCACAGCGCGAACGGCCAGTGATCTCTTGCATCTATCTTGCAAAGTTCCTAAAGCTTGAGGGTTTAGGGTTTTAGGCTTTGGGACTTATAACCCTAACCCCTAAACCCTAAACCCTAAACCCTAAACCCTAAACCCTAAACCCTAAACCCTAAACCCTAAACCCTAAACCCTAAACCCTAAGCCCTAAGCCCTAAACCCTAAACCCTATAGGGGGTTGGAAGGGTGTAAAAGGTAGTTTTCTGGAGATGCCCCTGGGGAGGGACACTTCACGGCAACTTGCTCGAACCCGAAGCCTACTTAACCCGCATCCTAGAGGCGCAACAACCCAAAAGCTGCTTAGCCATAAAGCCTCGGTATAAAGCTACGTTGGGGGTTTGGGGTTTAGAGTTTGGGGTTTAGGGTCTGGGGTGTTGGGGTCTTGGGGTTTAGGGTTTAGGGTTCAGGGTTTTGAGCCTCGGAGGTTTTTTTTTTGGGGTGTTCGGAGTTTTCTGGTTTGGTGGGGGTTGGGTTTTGGTTCGGCGTTGTTTGGCCTAGAAGGGTTTAGGAAACCCTTGCCCCCAAACCCCAAACCCTAAACCCCACACCGAACCCGAAACCGTAAACCCCAAACCCTACACCCTAAACCCCCAAACCCCAGACCCTAAATCCCAAACCCCAAGCCCTAAACCCTAAACCCCCCAAAACCTCCAAGGCCCGGGAGCGTGAAGTCGACGTCACCGCGCCGGCGGTCAACGCGGCGCTCGCGGCGCTGGGCGTCGGGGCACAGTGGGCGCCCATAGGGTTGGAGGGTTTAGGGTGTAGGGTTTGGGGTTTGGGGTGTAGGTTTGGGTTTAGGGTTTAGGGTTTGGGGTTACCCAAACAGGGTTTGGGGTTCGAGGACTACAGGAGGGACCCTTCCCAGGGAGCTTAGGGGTAATGTAGGGGCTACTTATGTATATTTTTTTTAAGGGCTGAGGGTTTGGGGTTTATGGTTTGGGTTCAGTGTTTAGGTTTGGGCCTAAAGTTTTGGGGCTGGGGTTTGGGGTTTTGGGTTTATGTTAAGGGGTCCAGGGTGCATTTTTTTTCGTGGTTGTGGATGGTGATTGGGTTTTGCCAGTACATCACCATGGTCATTCCGCGTGGAGCGAAACCCTAAACCCTAAACCCTACCTAAACCCTAAACCCTAACCCTAAACCCTAAACCCTAAACCCTAAACCCTAAACCCTAAACCCTCTGGTGCCAAAAAGCATCGGCAGGTACTCTCTCTGCAGCTGCTGGAAGGGATGACAGAGGCCCGGGGCCTGAGTTTCACAGGTGCACCCTAATCCTAAACCCTAAACCCTCAACCCTAAACACTCAACACTAAACCCTCAACCCTAAACCCTAAACCCTAAACCCTAAACCCTAAACCCTAAACCCTAAACCCTAAACCCTAAACCCTAAACCCTAAACCCTAAACCCTAAACCCTAAACCCTAAGCCAGCTTGACATCATCTTTGTTGGGGAGAGGGGGGGAGGAGGCCCGGGGCCTGAGTGTCAGAGGTGTAGAACCCGAAGCCGTCAGCTCGACTTCATTTTCGTGGTTTAGGGTTTAGGGTTGAGGGTTTAGATCCGTGCTCGTCTATGTTGTTCGTTCGTTGTTAGTTGCGTATTCCCAGAAGCAGAAGGGCTGGCTGTACCCGAAGCCCGATAAGCTAAAACCCTATGCCGAGGGATACTTGGGATTTGTTTTAAGATTTTGGTTGACTCTAGTTCCTAAGAAACAGTTGAAATTTAGAGATTTGTCAGGGTTCCGAGTCCAACCCCGAAGGGCATTCCGCGTTCTGAGAACTGAGGGAAGAGGGTGATAGGGCTGCCTTCCCCTTTGTCCTCATCACCAGGCATAAGGGTTCAGGAAACCCTAACCCGAAATCACCCCTGAACCCTAAAGCCTAAAGCCTAAACCCTAAACCCTAAACCCTAAACCCTAAACCCTAAACCCTAAACCCTAAACCCTAAACCCTAAACCCTAAACCGTGCGATCAACTCCCCCAATTCCATCCGAGGCTGGCCCTGCGTGCGGAGCCCAGCCTCAGAAAGAGACAGGGTTTAGGGTTTACAGGGTTTTGGGCTTAGGGCTTAGGGCTTAGGGTTTAGGGTTTAGGGTTTAGGATTTAGGATTTAGGATTTAGGGTTTCGTGGTTATGGCTTTGGGAAGGGGCCTTCGCAGGACAGGCTTCACGCAGCACTGTTCGCCTCAAACTTCTCGCTTGTCCTCGCCATGATGGAGAGGCTTCAGCAACAGCACACCGAAGGCTCGCATCGTCGACAGGCTTGTGGAATCTACGTTTTAGGGTTTAGGGTTTAGGGTTTCTGGGCGGATCGGTCAGATGGCTCTCCAACTCAACGCTGAGAAGGAGCTGATGATGCCGAGAAAGGAGTCGCTTCGAACTGTGGTGCGCGTTGTGTGATGTCGAGTGCAAGGCTTCTGCTGAGATCGAGGTTGACGGGTGGGTCTTGTGAGGCGTTGCGGGTTTATTGATGCTCCTGGGGCGTCGGCCCCGGAATATTTGCAGAGGGTTTAATTGCTTGTGAGTAGGGTTGAGGGTGCCCTAGGAGCCCTAGAGCCCAGAACCTGCCGCTACCTTTCCGAGCCCTTTGGTACTTGAGTTGAATGTTTGTGTTGGCCCTTGAGGATTTTGGCTTGAGGGTGTTGGGTTGTGAGCAGGATATCTCGGAGTTGTCCTATTCGCACCCATATTCGGGTTGATTACTTCAAACAGCACCTGTGATCCTAAGAGTGCAGGGTCAGTGTCCATCCTGAATTTCTGGCTTCGGATGCAGGTGACCTCTCGAAACCCTAAACCCGAAGCCTAAAGCCTAAACCCCATATCCCTGATCAACCCGATCCCCCAAGCCCTATCCCCGGCCCCTCAGCCCGAAACCCTACACCCCTCCCTGAGCCAGCTGTGCCGAACTTCCTCTAAACCCTAAACCCTACATTCTAAACCCTAAACCCGAAAACCGAAACCCTAGACCCTATAGACCCCTGAACCCTAGACCCCAGACCCTAAACCCTAAACTCTAAACCCTAAACCCTACACCCTAAACCCGAAGGCCGAATACAATCTCCTTCAACATCGTCCTCCGGACTTGTGCAGATGCCGGGCGCCCCGGGGAGCATGGCGTCGGCTATCCCCCTACCACCCCATACACCGCAAACCCTAAACCCTAAGCCCTAAACCCTAAACCCTAAACCCCAAACCCTAAACCCTAAACCCTAAACCCTGTTTAGGGTATACCCCAGAATCGAAGGCACGGATCATTTGATGAGTTCGGGTTTGTAGGCCTCAGGTCTTCGAGGCTTCGTAGAAGTAGAAGCTCGTCAAGTCGATAGCGTTTAGGGTTTAGGGTTTAGGGTTTAGGGTTTAGGGTTTAGGGTTTAGGGTTTAGGGCTACCCGGTTCCTGGCGCCCAGCTGCAGGCCTCACAGTGGCTCTTGGCCATCGAGGCCATGGAGAGGATGAAGGCCCAGATCCGGCGATGCGAGGTATAGGGTTTAGGGTTTTGGGGTTAGGGTTTTGGGCTTAGGGTTTAGGCCCTAAACTTTAGGGTTTAGGGTTAGGGTTGAGGGTTTTAGGGTTTAGCGTTTAGGGTTCAGGGTGTAGGGTGTGGGGTTTAGGGTTAGTAGCTGAGTGAGTGCAATTTACACTTCTTGGGATACTATAGTCCCCTATAGAACTGAAGTGTGCGCTTTTTTGGGGCTTATGAACTCAGCGACTAAGTAGGGTTTAGGGTTCAGGGTTAAAGGTTTAGGGGCTTAAGGGTTTAGTGTTTAGGGGGTTAAGGGTTTTAGGGTTTTAGGGTTTTAGGGTTTTAGGGTTTTAGGGTTTTAGGGTTTTAGGGTTTTAGGGTTTTAGGGTTGTAGGGCTTTAGGGCTTTAGGGTTTCAGGGTTTCAGGGTTTTAGGGTTTTAGGGTTTTGGGGTTTTGGGGTTTTAGGGTTTTAGGGTTTTCGGGTTTTAGGGTTTTAGGATTTTCGGGTGATAGGCACCGTGCCGTGGGCGCGGCAGGCAGAGCTGGAGTACATGGAACGTTGGGCCTGGCCGGTGGAGCAATCAGGTACCAGGACGAGTTGGACACTCTGGGCGTGTTGGCATACATGGAGAATCTGCACCAAGAGCTGGCGAAGCTGTCCCAGAAGTACATCAGGGGTGGAGACACCAGGGGAGGTGCAGGAGGAGGCACTGAGATCTCTGGTGATGAAGACCATTCCCCCGCCGTGTTGGATTGGGAGTATGTTCAGTAAGCAAGATTCTTACGTCTTGAGGAAACTGGGGTTGACCTACAGCAGCAGCGCCCCACCACCAGAGAAGCTGGAGAAGATCCGTTCTGGGAACCAGATTCCTTTCGCAACGGAAGCTTCAGGCAGGATTTCGAGTTTAGGGTTTAGGGCTTAGGCTTTAGGGTTTAGGGCGGGGGGTTCTTTGGGAGAATTGTCCGCCATTGCTTTGCGTGTAACGCAGCCTTATCTTTGGGCGGCACTTACCTTTAGCTTGGGCGATTGATTTGGCCCTTGATCCAGGTACTCCTGGGAGATTCTGGCGGTAGTTTGGGGCTACGGGCAGGGGGTGGATATGCTCGCCGAGAATGGCTAGGCAAAATTGAAGTTCCGTTTAGACAGGCAAAGGAAAGGTAAAGCGTGCATCGGCCAACGGCAAAATCTACCACCCAGTCTCTTCGGCTTCTTCCGACCACGCGCGCACATCGGCCTTTGCTTTTTGACAGTGAGGATTGGGATGGCTTCCGATCCGTGCCTTAGGGTTTTGGGGTTTTAGGGTTTTCGGGTTCTAGGGTCGTAGGGTTTTAGGGTTTTAGGGTTTTAGGGTTTTGGGGTTTTAGGGTTTTAGGGTTTTAGGGCTTTAGGGTTTTAGGGTTTTCGGGTTTTGGGGTTTTGGGGTTTTAGGGTTTTAGGGTTTTGGGTTTCGGGGTTGTGGGTTTAGAGTTCAGGATTTAGGGTTCAGGGTTGAGGGTTTTGGGTTTAGGGGTTGGGGTTGAGGGTTTTAGGGATTTGGGTTTAAGTTAAGGGTTTTCCAAACTTCTCTGGGTTTAGGGATTAAGGGTTAGGGGTTTAGTGTTCAAGGTTTTGAGGTTCTGGGTTCAGGATTTTAGGAGTTCAAGTGCTTATGGTTTAGGGTTTAGGGCTTTCGGGTTGAGAGTTTAGGGCGAAGGGTTGAACAGTTGATCGCTAAGCAGGCACACGGCTGCCCGCCGACACCGGTGACGTTCACGACGCTCATGGGTGCCCTTGCAGCTAGCCTGGACATGTTTGGGGCCTAAACTTGGGATGTTCCCCCTTATACTAGCAGTCCTTCTCATAGGGATGATGTGGGTTGAGTGTTTAAGGTTGAGGGTTTAGGGACGACTCGGTTGACGCCTTGCTTTGGGTGCTAGTTACATTCACGGGCTCTAGGCAAGGAGCTTTTGAACCTTCCAGGGAGCAAAGATATGCTGGGCACCCATATAGCCCTAAACCCTGACTCCTGAACCTTCTTTATCTGAATCCAAGAACCCTAAGCCTTAAGCCCTATTGAAGACCCTTCCTAGCGAACCCCCTTTGCTACGAACTGAACCAGCCTGTTCGTGCCAAGGCCAACGCCACTCGCTGGCAGCAGGCCGAGTGTTCGGGACTTGCGTAGGCTTTCACAGGTCGGAGAAGTATATAGGGTTGAGGGTTTACGGGGTGTACCGCCAAAGCAAGAATGCAACCCCAAACCCTGAACCCTTAACCGCAGACCTAATTCTTGGACCCCAAACGAGAGACTATGTAACTAGTATTCTGCCTCTTCGGCAACCCTAAACCTTAACCTTAAGCCCTAAGCCCTAAACAATTGCCCAATGTGGTAGGCACTAAGCTCCAAACCGCAGAAGACAGGGGGCCGGAAAGCAGCTGTCAATTGAACCCTAAGCCCTAGACTCTGACCTGAGACCGTAAACCCCAAACCCCAACTAACCCCAAACCAGGCCCTCTTGCAGCTGAATGAGCTAAGCTTACTTTCAGCAGCGGCCTCAGTTGGCAATCAAGACCGGCTGTGGAAGCAAATGTAGGATAAAGGGCTCAAGGGGTTTAGGCAGTTTCGGGCTTAAGGGGTTTAGGGCTTAGGGCTTATGGTTTAGGGATAACATGGGCCGGGGCTTATGGTTTAGGGACAACATGGGGCCCTTTTGGGTTAGGCCTCGAAAGGTTGCAGAGCCAACAGGGTGCCATGGCGTGGAATGTCTGCCAGGTTCCGTTCCCAGAGACTCCAGCATCCCTTCGTTCCTAGGTAGGATAAGGGGGACCCTTAAAAGGGAACCCCTTCTGAACCCTCTTCTGGCAATCTTAAACAGGGACCTTATTTAAGAGGGTCTATATCCCCAAGGGTCCCCCGAATCCTATCCCCTAGTTATAGGGATCTAGGCCTCCTCAGTGTGAGTACAGGAAAAGTCCTCAATGAACTCTCGGGAAGTTAGGCAACCTCAATACGACTTACGGAAGATTCCTTCTATTCGAGTAAGCTGTACGGACTTCTAGGATTCTAGGGATCCTAGTCTGATTTGAGGCGTAGTTCCCAATTCAGGAATATACCTTCATGTATAGGGATCCTGGATATGATTTAGCCCTAAGCCCTAAACCCTAAACCTTCCCTATGCCCTAAGCCCTAAGCCCTCAACCCTCAACCCTCAACCCTCAACCCTCAACCCTCAACCCTCAACCCTAAACCCTAAACCCTAAACCCTAAGGTTTTTTTCCTTAAGGGGTATTGGGCTCTTAGGGTTCCTCAGGGTTCCTTCACGTTGTGTGAGCCATGGCCTTCCTGAGGAGCCTAGGGTCCCTAAACCCTAAGCCCGAAACCCTGAGCCCTAAACCCTAAGGGTTTAGGGTTTAGGGTTTAGGGTTTAGGGTTTAGGGTTTAGGGTTTAGGGTTTAGGGTTTAGGGTTAGGGTTTAGGGTTCCTAAACCCCCCTAAGTTTCGTCAGAGTCCCTTCACTCGAGGTCACTCCCGACGTGGTATGCCTCAACGCTGCGCTTACGGTGTGGGCTCCAGAGAGGGATGGCTCCTAACTTGGAAGCTCTTCTGACTTAGTAAGTTACTTTGTGCCCCTAGAGAACCCGATCTAAACCTAAACCCTAAACCCGGGTGTTTCCAGTCCTCAGATTTCCGTACATTCCTGCCTAGCCTACAGCTTCCCAGGAACTCTACGTTGAACCAGGCCCCCCCCCCCCCCCCACAAAAAAACAAAAAAACTTTTGCGAGTCGTTTCGCTTTCCCTTAAGCCCTAAAGCCTAAACCCTAAATCCTATACCCTCTCTCGAGCTTCTTCTCTCTTGATTTGGGCCGTAGCCTCAACACGCCCCCTAATCCGAGCCCTAGTGTTCCTTGCGGATACCCTACAGCTAAGCCCTAAACCCTAAACCCTAAACCCTAAACCGAAACCCTAAAACCCTAAGCCCTGAGGCCCTGAAGCCCTGAAGCCCTAAAGCCTAACCCCGGTAGAGTTATGTCAACGAATGCGTTTTTTTGTGTGATGGCAAACCCAGGGCCTCGCCAATTCGAAGCCCCAGTCAATCCCCTAAACCCTAAACCCTAAACCCTAAACCCTAAACCCTAAACCCTAAACCCTAAACCCTAAACCCTAAACCCTAAACCCTAAACCCTAAAAAGCCGAAAGATCAGGCCTGTAGTCGCAGCGCCGCCTGCGAAACCGCACTCTCGCTCGTGCCACTGGCATGCAAGACCTAAGGATCCATGTGAATTAGGGTTTAGGGTTTAGGGTTTAGGGTTTAGGGCTTAGGGTTTAGGGTTTAGGGCTTAGGGCTTAGGGTTTGGGGCTTGGGGTTATAATTACTGTTATTGGTGAGTGTATGTAAGTTTCTTGCTAATATTGGTGAGTGCATATATTGGGTGTCCTTTTGGGGGTACAGGAAAAACAAACTCTACTTCATGTACCTGCACAGTATATACTTGGGCCCCAAAGCTACTACATAGGAATCTAGGTAAAGACTGTAACTGCACATGGATCCTTAGAGAAAGAGTGGGGAGGTGGCTTCTGGTAAGTTCTCCAATTTAGGATTTAGGCTCTGGAGTTGCTCCTGTGGTACGAAAAAAAAAGTTCCAATTCCGAGAAGCCGCAAGCGGGGGGGGGGAGGGGGGGGGGAGGTGCCGTCCCCAAAGTCGTTTCCCAGGTTTAAGGCTTTATGATTGATTGCGTGAAGCTAGGCATTGGCCCCTGCGCAAGGATGACACATGGACGCTGAGGCTGTTTTTGATCGAAAAGGCTGGAGCGGTGGGCCTGTCGTCTTGAGGGTCTTAAGCACAATCTTCGCATCTTGGTTGCATTATTTACGTATTTGGGTCCCAGGGACTTCATTCTAGGTGGTGCATTAAGCAAAACCTCCATCTACCGGATATTTAGACACCCTATTTACGTAGGTTATCAGCCGTAGGTTGCTCTTGGGCTAGTTTGGTTGGGTTCTTTAGTGCAAACCTCCGTAGTCATTGAGCCATGGAAGAGCTGGCCCGAAGAAGAAGGGCGGGCGTGGCAGATGAGCAGGAGGAAAGAAGTGTACCGCAAGATTACAACTATGAAGCAGCCTTGAGCCAGGGATTCGCTAGTGCGGCTAATCCTGGAGGAGCTACGTGGTCAGGTGATGCATCACCTGGTATGTTAGAATCGGGAGAAGCTGCCGAATGCTTAGAGAGCACACGTCTCCCGATAGCAAGCCCTTTTCATAGCGAAAAGGTCAAGGCGGAAGTTGCTTTGAAGAGAACAAGGCCGAACACACTGGATGATGATGCCAGCCGGCTTTGTCCTGAGGTCAACGAGGCGGCCTTGGGTGATACGTACCGAGACGCGAGCTTGGAACCGAACTACGCGACATCACTTGGACCTCTGAGGAGTGCAGGGATGGCTCCACGCGTGGCCAGAGTTGAGACGTCCGGCAGCGTGACTTCTCCTGAAAGGAATGGGGAAGCTGTTGGGCTGAATTTGGCAGGCGCGGACGGATCTGGCTCTGGGGTGAAAGATTGTGACGCTCAGGTTCAGGACATTTTGGGAGCTGAGCAGCGTGTTCATGTGTCTCAAAGTGACAGAGGGAGACCAGAGGGTGACGATCAACGAGAGTTGATCCCTGCCACTGAGCCGGGAAGTAGGATCGAGTACTTGCTGGAACAGGTGATTGAGGAGAACCGTGCGCTGAAACGAAGGCTTGAGCAAGTCGAGTCACAATCTTCATGGCACAGTGCCGGAACTCCACAGGAACTTGCGCCATGGATGTCGCCAGCTTCGTTTGCAGTAGGACGTGGAGCTTCTGAATTCATGATGGCCCCAGATCACCGTAGTGTCAATGTACAGTGTGCAACCGTTAGTGCGATGGATTTCCCAGGTCCTGACATAAGGGTTGATTGTACGTCGGTTGGTGTATCGGGGCCGGATGGTTTAGGGTCGTCAGTCGCTTCTGGGCAGCAGCAGTCTTCTTTGCGAGCAAGGCCCCAAGGACCTACAACAATGACACAACCGCTAGAGGGTCATTCCTTCATGGATCAGCATCGGTTTGAGGCTTCGGGGGTGTCTCCACCTGTGAGCTGTGGGTGTCCTCAAGATGTTGCTTTGCCGAATTGGGAGGTAGTTGTTCAGCGTCAAGTCCCAAATCCTCAACGGGCTCCAGGAACTCAGACTATGAGGCAGTTTGCTGGGGTTGCGGTAGCGGGTTCTGGGTGGCAGGAAGAGTCTGGATATCACACGCCTAGGTCAGGAGGGATTAATTCTGGTAGAGGTTTCGATCATGAAGGATATCCTGTATCTCCTGGGGGCACGGTTATTCGGCCTCCGCCTGGACCGCCGCCGCTTTCGCCGCGGCAGCCTAGTGTTCCCATCGGGATGGGTGGGGGACTCGGGGTGCAGCGGTTGGAAGATCACCCTGTCGGTGAGGGGAGTCTGGGTGGAAGATTGGGGCTTGGTATCGGTGATGTCGGGGCTCCAGCGTCAGGGAATAGGCCAGAGGAACCCGCCAAGTACATCCAGGAGCTACCTAAGCTGGTGTCTGCAGATCTAACTTGTTCAGCGGTGGTTTGTGGCAACTGGTTGGCCCAAGTGAGGCAGATCTTTCAGGGCTTGTCCCCCAGCGCTGATGTTTGGTTCAACTGTGTCGAGGTTGCGGCAACAAAGTGGTACAATCAGTGGTTGACGGCTGATCCTCTTGGGCGTTTAGGGCTGGATCCGGGTATGGTGGTTGCTCCTTTTGATTCGGTTTTGTTCCAGCGTGTTGAGAGTAGGGCGGTTACTCTGCTTCTGGCAAGTTTGCCTGCGAACCTGAAGGAAGATGTCATAACAAACAGGTGGTTGACCACCTCATCGATACTTTTCCGGGTCATGTGCATCTATCAGCCGGGCGGGGCCAGTGAGAGGGCGCATTTGTTGTCTCAGCTAGTCAATCCTGAGGTGTTTAAAAACCACAAAGATGCGGTATCTGGGCTAAGAAGGTGGGGTCAAAACCTTACTAGGGCAAAGGAAATTGGGGCAACGCTACCGGACCCTTCCCTCTTAGTGAAAGGGATAGATGCCTCCACTGTCTCTCTCTTGGGCGGGGCTCCTATGATTGGGTTTAGAGTCAACGCCTTTCGACATAGGTCGGGTTTGGACTACAATCCCACCGTCCCCGGGGTGGTCCAGTTGGTGAGGCTAATCCAGGCAGAGTGTGAGGCGGCTTCGCTTGTTGTGGACGGGGTAGCAAATAGACATAGAGCTGCTGCTGTTGCTCCTCAGGCTAAGGATAAGGAAGCGCCGGTTCCACCTAAGGGTCCCTCGGTGTCCGCAGCTGTGGTGCCTGATCAGGGGGGTCCTGAGGGAGGTAAGTCAAAAGGGAAAGGGAAGGGGAAAGCCAAGGAGGGAGCTGGCCAAGGTTCGTGTACGAGGTTCTCTGACGCCACGGGTTGTAAGTTTGGGGATTCGTGCATTTTTAACATGATCGGCCAGAGGCTAGGAAGCAGGGTAGGTGCCTAGCTTGTGGTCAGAAGGGTCATTACAGGCCTGATTGTCCTTTGGTTCCTGCTGAGCAAAGGCAGGTTCCGGTTGATGCATCTTCTAAGGCTTCCTCTCCTTCATCTGCTTCCAAGGGTGCCCCTAACCCAAAGGCCAAGGCAAAGGCGCCTGCACAGGCAAAAGGGGTGACTGAAGAGTCTCCGCCGCCTGGTTCGAAGGCTCAAAATGCATCGGGAACTGTGGATGTGACTTCGAACGCTGCGTCCGAAGCATTGATCGCTGAAGCCGCAAAGATCCTCAAAGGCGTAACGCTAAAGGCTGTTAGGGCGTCGGATTTCGGGATAGATCCAGCTTGGGTGATTGCAGCAATCGCTTCGGCTTCGGATGCTCGCTATGCTCTTATAGATTCAGGGGCGACAAACGCTCTGCGGCAAGCGCAGCCGGGGGAGATAGAGAAGGCAAGGGCGATCAAGGTTGACCTAGCTTCGGGGGGTGCAGACCTTCACGTTAATGGTTCGGGTACTCTGCTGAGCTCCTCGCCTTGTCAGCTGATTCTCCCGGCTGGTTATCTGGTAGAGCTCGGATATGAAATCTCTTGGCGCAAGCGAGGATGTAAGATCAAGAAAGCCTCGGGATCAAGGCTAGACGTTAAGGTGGTGAAGGGCTGTCCTCTTATTTCTAGGGAAGATGGTCTTCGGTTGTTGGAAGAGTACGAAGCTAGGAAGGAGAACCCAGGGATCAGGGCTGTCGATGGGTCGGGTCAGTGTGATCTTCCGAAGGGCCTTTGTAAGGAAAATGCTCGACAGTGGCTAGCATCTCGTGTGAAGCTGGTTGGCCGCGTAGAGTGCACTGATTTGAAGTTCTTCCTGAGTGCCGTTTTTCCATCGTTGCCGACTGTCTGCATTGATAGGGCTTGCAAGGCTTCCTGCGAGGATGGGCTAGCGAGTGCTTGTGCAGGCAAATGGAACCGCAGGTTTCGAAGAAGCATTGCTAAGGGGCCTAGGGGTCATGTTCTGGTGCGACTGTTTGCGACGGGGCCTAAGCTTAAGGGGTTGGGCCGTGTCGTTGAAGTTGGAAAGGGGTTTGGGAGCGACCTTGAGGATGATAGCGTGTTTTGGCAGCTTTTGAGATGGGCGGAGTCTGGAGCCATTGGGGGCATAATTGGAGCGATTCCTAGCGATACCTTCCCAAAGCGCAGCGATGCTGAGGGTGGACAAGGTTGGGATTGTCTTTGGAATGACGGGGAGATGGCAAGGCAAGCTGTCCAAGAAAATACTTTGTGGCTTAGGGCCATGTTACTGTATATGGTAGCTCAGGCTGCTTCAGATTCTTTGGCACTCGAGGCGGGACCGAGCCTGGATGGGGTCGATGACAGTCGACAGGATAACGAGTCTGAGGGAGAGATGTACGAGTTGCCTGCGGGCATCAAGGATCCTAGGCAGTTAGCCGAGTGGGCTCTGAGAAGGGCTGCGGACAATCTGCGTGCAGCTAGTTCGGTGTTAGGGGATGCGTCTCCGCCTTCGTGGGGAAGCCCAATCTATGTAGCACTTGAATGTCCTGGAATGCCTGCAACTGCTGCGTCGGTGGGTGGTCATGTGCACGTCGGTTTCAATTGGTGGGAGTTGCCAGAGGTTAAGTCCTTCGTTGAACTGTATGGGCTTCGTGAAGCATCCTTCCATTACTCTGCGATTGGGAGTGGTTACAGGGGCCCGGGTACGGTAGCAACGTCTTCCTGGTTTC